TATATATATATCATTGTATATATATATATATACAATGATACACACGTGGGCGTGTGATGGATCCATAGACCTTATACTACATTGTATATGTTGAAAATACAATATTTATTGGCACAAATTTATTATAATAAATTATGAATGTGAAGTGAGGTTATTGCGAATTGGTGTGAACAAAATGTAAATAATCTAAAAATCTTTGAGCTTTATTTTGTGCTGAATAGAAGACTTATTTGATTCATATATATTTCATATATGGGTCATCTTTCACAAACCGCACACCGACCAGATCTTGACATTTGAACATTGTCTGATTTTTTTTTTACAGATATTAAACATAAAACCATCTGACACGTATTTCAGGATTTTTTTTTATTGAAATATGGATGATTGTGCTCAATTTCAATGTATAATTTTATTATATTTTACTCATATTAAGGTCAACTTTATAATAATTAAATAAAAGTTTTTGCAATTTCCTTAATAATAACAACCTCTAGATATTCACTAAAGTTTTACCTAACCTTAAGTCACGCTTTCCACGCCAGGAACCTCAAAGACTTGTACGCATTTGTCACTTTGAAAATTGAAAAATATTTTTAAATTTGTTTATGGAGACAAATGAATATATATAAAAAAATATTAGAAGAGAACAGGGCTTAAAGGTCTGCGTGTAAAAGTTCCACTATGCATATCTCAAAAACAAATAAAGTTAGGAACTTTTCATAACAATATTTTGAAGTAGGAGGACTTTTAAGTTAGATTCAACCATTTTTTCTAATTATGGAAATATATTTTTCAGCTATTTTTCCGAAATTTGTCATTTTTTTTCTTTTAGCCCTTATCCCGGGTAAAAAGTATAGCCATCGTGCAAACAGATACAATATCTTATTCTTAATTTTAAAGAATTTTACGAAATATTAGCTCATAGGCATATCTTTTACAAAGAATTCACCATATATAGCTTTGATCTGTTATTTTATCAGAAATATTCATAAGCAGAGTTGGTATTACTCTTAATTTATATTATTGTAAAAATGCTTTTTTCTAACTAAATTATTTTTTTCCCATTTTCTTATGTTCACACCTTTGCCAGCTTGAAGGTTTAGTTGGTCTTTTTTACACCCACATGTAAACAGTAAGCTTATAAAATATTTTTTTCAACCATAAACAAGTATAATAAGAAGGGGCATTCGAAAGTGACAAATGAGTACAAGTCTTTGTACCTGGCGTGGAAAACGCGACTCGCGCTCAAAAATATTTAATACCTTTCGATGTAACGAGTTTCCAACAAATTGTGAAAAAAATTTTGTAGCAGAAAAAAAAATGTTTAATTGATTCAAGTTGGGGGAAGGACGAATAAAACCTTTGTGAATATTCAGGGGCTTTTATTGCTAAGAAAATTCCAAAAACATTTTGTTTAATTATTATAAAGTTGACTTCAATATGAGTAAAATAAAAAAAAATACTGTTGCGATCAGCACAATAGAAATAATTAATTTGACGCAAAGGATGTTGAATAGAATTGTCATGTATTCTGATTGCTATTGAAAATAAAATTAAACAAAAAAAAATTGAGAAAATCATCATCAAATTTCATTGTAAATATTAACAAAAACAAATTTTTCAGCAAACTCTGAAATTTATAACTGTAAAAATTTATTTACTTTCACGATTTGTGAAAGAATACCAATTGCATTTCTATGTCCTACAAATATATTGTATGTGTTGCAGTTAATAAACTAGGAATGTTTCATGGAAGAGCTTATACAATGAAAGAAAAGAATTTCAAAAAAATTTCAACATATTTGTGGTTTGCTTCAAGAAATTAGATATCAGGATCCTCCAGAAGACTCCAACTTGAATTTGACCTATGATATTTGTGCACAACGTGGATTGAAGAATTTACGAAATGAATATCCTGATGACGATAATATGCAAAAATTTGTTACTGAAATTCAGGTGCCAATTACTAATATGATGCTTATTTTACAAATTATTTGCGCTTAATTTTTTCTATTTCTTTTTAGAGATTATTTGAAAAAGCTCTTGATTATGCCAGAGACCTTATTAAACCTTCAGGTCTATTATCTGTTATATGCCATGGTGATTACCTAAGAAATAATGTCATGTACAAATATGATGATACAAATCAACCTATAGATTTGATGATGCTTGATCTGCAGACATTTCGGTACGTCAACAAGAATAATATTTTGTTTTCATGCTTTAAAAATTACTTTTCGAACTGATTTGATGTTCATGTCATGAGAGAATGCATTTAGCTTTTTTTTTTTTTTTTTTTTTTTTTTAATTTTTATTTTCAATAGCAATCAGAATACATGACTATTCTATGAGCTATTTGGCTTATGTCATTCACTCACACACATACACACACACTTGCAAACACACATATAAATTTATCGGATCAATATTACAATCATATTTAGAGAATCACTTCAATAAGTGATTCAATTATTCTGTTCATATAAGGTTGTGGTAGTTCTAAAGTTCCTCCATATTATCTTCGGGCAGCTTCTTCTTCAGTCTTCTTGAAGTTGATGTCTCAAGAAGCTGAGTGACTATATGGTTTGAATGATGTTGTAGTTTTTGAAAATGTTTTATACTGTTGATTTGTATTATTCTGTTTATAAAATCAATATGAAGATCGTCGTGTAAAGTTTTATTACTAACAAACCACGGAGCATCAGTAATCTGCCTCAATATTTTCGATTGGACACGTTGCATTAACGCTATGTTGGATTTGCTTGCACAGCTCCACAATTCAATGCCATAAGTCTATATGGGTTTTATTACTGCCTTGTAAATTAGAAGTTTATTGTCAATCGACAAAATTGACTTGCGTCCCAGTAGCCAGTATAGTTCAGCGGTTCTAATTTTTATAGTATTTAATTTGGCGCGAATATGGTCCTTCCACGTGAGTCTGCGATCTAAATGCATACCTAAGTATTTGACGCATTCGGTGCTTGGAATTGCTTGGCCATAAAAATGTACTCCTGGGCATGTTGTCTTGTTCAGTGTAAATGTTATATGATTAGACTTGCTCTCATTTAATTTTATTCTTCATTTTTTGTCTAATTCTCTATAACATTTAGATGCCTTTGTAAAATTAGCGAAGCCTTAGATGCATCAGCATGTGTCAAAAGAACTGCTATGTCGTCAGCCAATGTAGCTGTTGTGGTTGATTGTAATGTTGGAAAATCACTAGTGAATAGGATATATAAAAATGGCGCCAAAACACTGCCTTGTGGAACTCCTGCCTCAGTCTGATGAGATATTGAGGTTTCAGTGTTGACCCGTACTTTGAATTTCCTATTGGCGAGATAAGATTCTGGAATATTATAATAACCACATGGAGGTAGAGATCTAATCTTCGATAGAAGTCCCTTGTGCCACACCTTATCGAAAGCCTGGCTCACATCTAGAAACACTGCAGAACAGAATTGTTTGGCCTCGAAGGTATTGTTGATGACTCTTACGATTCTGTGGCACTGTTGAATTGTAGAGTGTTGACTCCGAAAGCCAAATTGATGTTCTGGAAATATATTCGCGCTAGTTAAGATATGTTGAAGTAGGAGTTTTTCGAGCACTTTTGAAACAATTGGTAGAAGGCTGATTGGTCTATATGAGGTAACCATATTAGGATCTTTTCCGCTTTTATGGATCATTTTTACTACAGATGTTTTGTAGAGAGTTGGCCAATAATTTAATCTAATTATTGAGTTGAATATATACGTTAGAAGGATGAATCCCTTCTTTGGCAATTCTTTCAACATTTTTGCCGTCACTAAATCGTAACCTGGAGATTTATTATTTTTCAGTTTACTTATCTCTTCAATTATAATCTTTAATGAAAAGAACTTTATGCTGTTCATTGAGTTGTGAGAAGGAATCATATTTGAGCTAAGGCCCGCTGCGTTAGAGTAATCTGGGTTCGGTTTGAAAACTGCACTTGAATAATGAGCAAATAAATTAGCTTTTTCTGCATCACTCCTAGCCCAAGATAGATGATTGCTGTCATCCCATCTAACAGGCGGATTTTGAATACGTGGTTTTAATTTGTTTTTAATTTAGAATTTTTTTCAATCTGGATTTTAATTTATTGCTTAAGTTATTGTATGTGTTCTTATCCGATGGAAAGTGAGTTGACTGCCATTTGCGTCTAGCTTTCCTTTTCTCGGAGATTAAATTTTTAATTTCAAAAGATAGAGGTTGATCCTGTTGAACTCTTGTTTCTGGAGTAGCAGTTAAAGTAGCATCATGAAGTGTTTTATTAAATTTGTCAATAGCAGAGTCAACTTCCGATGAGTTCTTAAGACTAATTTTGAGATCAGTATTGTTTTCTATTTTGCAGCGGTATAGTTCCCAGTTTGTTTTTCTCGAATGAAGTCTATAAGGTTTACAAACATTGATAATTGAAGAACAGATAGTAGCAGTTATAGGTGAGTGATCTGAAGAGAGATCGTAGCTTGAATGAACATCTGTGTACCTTGAGTTTAAGCCTTTGATTATGAAGAAATCCAATAAATCGGGCTTCTTCATTGGGTCAGTTGGCCAGTAAGTCGGAGTGCCCGTGGAAAGAGTACCATAGTTTTGTTGGACAATAACTTCATACAGTTTTCTTCCTTTTGGATTAATCAGTCTTAATGCATTTAGTAAAAGACTAAAAATGGTTAAATGGATAACTGTGTTGGCTGGAGTCGAGCAGAAAGAGCATCAGTATAGAATGAGAGTTTAGATCAAACAGTTTGAAGCACAACTCAACGACGGACTCGTTTCTGATGCTATTAGGTAGAAAGGAAATGGAGAAAACTTGCATATTTATTTCTTTTCTCTAGAAAAAGAGTTTAATGATGTCCTTGTGATTTTATAAATGTTTTGGAGTTGAAAAGACATCCAGTTTAGATATGCGTGTGGAAAGAATTGGTAGAATAGCTATCAGATTGTTAATGTTTTAAAGATAGTTTCTACTAATCTATTGATAAGTCAAAAACTGGAAACTTCAAAAGAGAAATCATGACATCTATAAATTAGATGTCTTGTGACTGAAAAAGGTTAGAGGGCTGAGGACTCTTTTCGGATTGCTTCTCAATATACATATTGTATTTTACATGAGACAAGTTCAAAAGAAGAGACGCAATTTTAGTAATAAATATAACGATGAGTAGTGTGCTAATTGTGATTTGCATTTGTGCTTGTAAGTGAAATTCTGGTGATTCAGGTGCATAGGCACATAATAAGAAATTGTACAAACATGAAGGATATATGTTGGCTCTTGGCGGCACATCGATTTGCACTAAAGCCTAGGATAAGCCAGAAAATAATTCTAAAGTGCAAAAAATACTTTAATACGGATTCAAAGATGTATCTACACAAATCTTTCCGAACAAATAAACGACGAAAAACTGTAGATATGATTTGAAACTTCAGGAAACAAAAAGAAGAGGTTGGACGATTACACAGATCCACAAAAGGTGGAAAATTGAAAATAGAAGAAGACGTTGGCAAATGTTATTGCCTTGTGGAAGAATTAGATTAAAACTAGTGGCGCGCATGGCATCGTGCCTTAAGGCAAATTGCTGTAACTTTCCGTACTAAAAATTATTATTTTTTAAAAACGAATAACATTTTTGAAAAAAATTTACTTCGAAAAAATTAGTTTTTCAAGAAACTATAAATTTGACAAAAGATTACTTTTTTGAAAAAAAAAATATTGAAAAAAAAGGTTTCTTTATTTTGATATATTTTGGAAGTTCTGAACTTTTTTTCAAAGCAATCGTACTGCTTTAACTGCATAGAGACGAAATATCAAAGCGCGTAAGCGCCGCGATGCCGTCTAACGGATGAACATTGATACGGAACCCATAGGAATGTAAACAAAATTTATACTCATTGTTAAAATCTCTTTAAAATATCGGATATTTCGATGTGCATATGTCTAATGATCATTTTTGACCGCCAAATGGCATTTTTTTTTTACTTTTTTCATTAGACCTCCGAAACCGCTAAACCTGCCTTGATGAAAATTTGATCAATTTTTCATCTTGTCAATACAAGTAAAACGTTTTTTGAATTATTAAAATCGAACGCTCCGTTCTCTTAAAAACTGAGTTACCATTTTTTGCACTTTTTGCCCGGTATTTTCGGAACGGCTAGGCCTATCTTCACCAAAAACTAATCAGCACATTTCCTTATCAATACGAATCGAATGTTTTTTTATTTATTCAAATCACTTGTATCCGCACACACACACGCACACACACATACATCCATTTTTTCTAAGGTATGCCAAAATACTCAGAAACCTTTGAAACGTAAAGATATATAAAAATTTTCATTTTCGATTTTTTTGCGATTACTATAACTTGCCCTACGGGAAGTTAAAAATTTGCGATATATAAAAATTTTCCCGACAATATTGTGATAAAGAAATAGGAAAACATGATCGAAGACGGACATGAACCATGCACTAGAAGTAGTTATTACATATGAGAATGATCACTCTGTACAAGAAGGCCAAAACGGAACATCTAGATACTGACTGTTGTATCTTTAAATCAAATACATCAGCAACTATATTTTGTGTTCGATTAGGGGTAAAAATTAGCTAAAGCAATATAAAGGCATCATATTTTTATGCGATGGAATTCATTCTCTAAAATCGAAAAACTGTTGTGATATCGATATTTATTGGTCTATTTTATCACAACATCTCTAGATACTTTGACCTAATTGTGTGACAGTTGCATTTAGTTCTATTTCAGAGTAATTTAAATTACAGATTAAACCCAATTTTTCTCTGACTCTGGCGTAGAGAAAAGAATTGAAATGCTATATTAACAAGACATTATTGAATATTACCTTATCATAATATTATTACTATTACTATTATATTTGTATATATGCTTTATATTTTAGATATGCTTCCCCTGCAACGGATTTGTCTGTATTTTTATTTATGCACTATGATGGCAAACAACTGATTGAAGACTGGGATTATTTCTTTAGTGAATATCATAAAGCGCTAGTAAATGAACTCAGCATTGGTTTGAATAGGCCGATTAATGATCTTCCTAGCTGCTACAGGTTCGTAAAAATAATAATAAAAATCATTTGATTTATTTGCTTGTATTATATAAAATTTATTGGTCTTACTTTGCTGTATTTATATACTCTGACTACATACATATTTAATTTACATATGGGGTAGATCGGGGCACAAAGGTCCAATTTGCAATTATATCATAACAAATAACACATATCAAACAACTATCTGATTATGTTCAATACTTCCAGCTAATTCATCATTCTAGAAATGTGTTTTTTTTGCTGTTTTTCAAAAATGTGTAACCAGATTCTTTTACCCGGGGTTAATTGGGGCGGCCAGTGGACAACATGTCCAATGTTTTATTTTAATTTTGAAGAGGTTTTACAAAATATTAGCTGCATTATTCAACCAATGCAAAATATAAATTTCATGGATGCATTTTTTACAGCGATAGCACTGTAAATAACTTTGATCTTGTATGCAGTGCCGGCTTTAGGGTAGGGCGAGGTGGGCGACCGCCCTGGGCGCCGGCAAAAAGGGGCGCTGCAGGCGCCCCTCCGGCTGATGCTCATAGTTCGAGGTCTGCTTAGTCGTCTCGTAAATTCCCTAAATTAAGCGTTTTTTTTTTGTCTATTGTCAAAACACATTGTCCTTTTAACGTTTTGGTAAAAAAAAAGCTAGCGTTATTGTAGCGAAGCGTAACAAACTCAGCTCATTCGCATGGGATAGCGAACTTGGCCACTTGGCCAGTCACTCGAAATGGCAAAATCATTGATCACATAATTACTAGTGGCCTAGTGCAAACTCGCATTGATAATTATCCGAAGAATGATGCAGGCCGATATTTCTCTAATTCTCATTTCACAAAAATTCTTACAAACAATGAAACAATTCAGCGCCGTCGGTTAATTTACTCCGTTTCTAAGGATTGAGTTTATTGTTTTGTTGTAGACTATTTGATAGTAGCTCAACGTCGAACTTAGTATCTCAAGGGTATAACAACTGGAAATACTTGTCTGAAATATTAAAAAATCATGAAAATAGCACTTTTCATAAGAAGTTTTACTTTTTCATGGATTGAAGCTGAACTACGATTAAAAATAGAAAAAACGATGGAATAATGTTTTGTCTAGATTGATGCATATCACACTTTATTTAGCCGAAAACAATATGGCGTTCAGAGGCACTTCTGACAAACTATATACGCCAAATAACGGAAAGTTCTTAGGCTTTGTACAAATACTAGCCAAATTTCATCTAGTCATGCAGGAGCACTTGCGATTAGCTATGAAGGGTGATATTTCAGACCACTCAGCTTCTGTTCATCGATGGAAAATTCTAACCGATCACTTGGGACTATATACTATAAAAAAGCACAGTGACACTCGTTGGGAAGCAAGAATAAGTAGTGTTACAGTAGTCCGTTATCAAATTAGTACTATCCATGATGCTTTGATTACTTTGGCTCTTGAAACTCAGAAAACTGATGTTCAAATGTCTCATGAAACTACTACTCTAGCCGAATAACTAAAAGATTTCAGCTTCATAGTTTCATTGGTTGTTTGGTATGACATACATCATCAAATAAATGTTGTAAGTAAATCTCCACAGTCAACAGATATGGGTCTTGGTAAATGTACACAAATGTTGAAAAAATGCGGCAATTTTTTGGAAGACTACAGAAATACGGGCTTTAAAAGCGCTATTTTAACTGCGAAGGAGTTGGCTGAAGAACTAGAAATTGAGCGTCAAGCTGGTGAAATTGCACGCGATGACCCTATAACTTCTACAGAAAAAAAATTTGAGGTTGAATTTTTCAACTGTCTTTTGGACAACATTAATTTCAATCAATGAATGGTTCGAACAGTTAAATGAGTACTCGGAATATTGGTCTTTTTTGTACAATATTAAGCAGATTCCAGAAAAACGCGACCTTCTCAAGCTCTGTAGTGATCTCCAATTAAAATTAACTGTAGACTCTAAATCAGACATAGATGGTTGTATGTTATGTGATGAACTTATAAGTCTGGCATCCCACCTGATAAAAATGTGGTTACTCCCATTTTTGTTATAAATTTTATCAAAGATTTCAATTTACAAGAACTGTATCCAAATGTATGGATATCATTGCGAATTTTATTAACTATACCTGTAACGGTTGCTAGTGGGGAGCTTTTCAAAGCTGAAGCTAATAAAAACCTATCTTCGATCAGCGATTTCGCAATCTAGATTGACAAACTTAACAACTGTGTCAATTGAGAACGAAATTGCTGAAAACATCGACTTCGACAACCTTATAAAAGAGTTTGCTGATAGAAAGGCCAGAAAAGTAAAATTCTATTAGTGGTTCTATTAATGGTTATCTTTTATAATTTTTTTTTTTAATAAATGGTTATTTCATTAGATGTTTTTCTTTTTTCCAAATGGGTTTGAATTGCAGGTGAAGGGCGCCGTAGAAATCTCGCCCAGGGCGCTGGTAGTGTTAAAGCCGGCCCTGCTTGTATGTCATTAGAAATATTCACCAGCAGAGTAGAAATAACTATTTATTTAATTTTTTTCTTGTGAAATTGCTTATTTTTAACTTGATTTACTTTTTTATTTGCTATTTTTTATTTTTCACAACTTTACCAGTGTGAAGGTTTTCAGTTGGTCCCTTCTACGCCACCCAGGTGTAAGCTTTTTAACGTCTGGATTTAACTTAAAATTAACAATACCTCTTTATAAACTTTATAAACCAATTAAATAATGAATATTAACTTCCCGTAGGGTAGTTATAGTAATGGGCCGAAAATCGAAAATGAAAATTTTTGTATATCTTCAGGTTTTGAAGGTTTCTGAACATTTTGGCATACCTCAGAAAAAATGGATGTGTGTGCATGTTATTATTTTTTTTTTTTCAATTTTTTTTTTGTATGCCGAAAATAATTCAGGTTTTAATTTTAATTCTTGCTAAACTTCACTTATATACTATAAGTAAATAATGATGACTTTGTAAATCAGTTTATATAATTCTTATAAATATTACACAATGTTACAGTATTTACATTAATCGTAACTGTCTAGCAATTTGCCTTAAGGCACGATGGCATTCACCACTAGTATAAAATTATATTAAGGTCTGGAAAAATAAGCAACAGAGCTCACAATAAAATATAACAACCTAAGAAAATAATTTTGTCATGTATTTTTAAATATTTCAGTTTTTCTCGAGATATCATCGTCACAAGATTCAAAGTGGTGTCTGGATATGCATCATATTTTTCTACTAACGTTGTTGTTAAAAAATTCTTAACTTTAATAGTTTTTGAGATTTTGGTGGTGTTCCTTTTTACCCGGGAACCTTCAAACCCAGCTTTACCCTAAATCTTTTATCTGAAAAGCTGCTTATTCATGGTTATAATTTTCTGAACTTAAAATCTTTTGTAATAATTTTTTTATTTAACGGAAATATTTTTTGTGTGTAATTAATTGTACGTTTTGGAGAAATGGCATGTCTCTTCTTCAAAAACTTTAAGAGTTTGACTTTAAAAAGAAAAATGATACTAGGTGTAAGTTAACTTTTGTCTTAAGGCAATTTATTTAAATCATGTTATGTTAGGCATGTTAGTTATTTTTGCTAAACGGTTTAAATATTACACATTATTGAAAACCGAAACGTATTTTAGTATATCATTAAAACCAGAAACTCTACTGTAACACAATGTATCATTGAATTTATCAAACAATTTTTTAGCAATCAATTATAAAGAAATCACTTGACCGATTTTTGCAAAAACAAGTCACCTAGATCCCTAAAAACCTTACCAATAAATGGTTTTCGAGTTTCATCGAATTCGCTTTTTTCAATTTGGTTCCAAACGATTCTGAATGACTTGAAACGTTGAGAAGACACAAAATTAGCAATTTGAATTTTTTTGAATTATACATTCACTAAAAGGTATAGTTGGTTGTACTATGAGAACTAGGTGTGTATTTTGACCGACTGACGGAATTAATTTAAATATTTATACAGTAGAGCGTGTAAAGTAAACCACCGCCATAATTTCAAAAACATAGTATAGAATTTTTTATGATACCTTATGATAATTTTTATAATCTTAGATAATGAAGAAAAAGATGTATCATCAGCTTTCGTCTTAATTTCGACGACGTCGCTATTATGAGATAAATGGCTATCTATCGATATCTATTACAAACGAATCTTTTTTGTTGGTATTTTTTTTGGTTTTGAGCTCTTTTAATTATTTTATGGTATCTGAATTTATTTTTTAGTATACGTTATTAATTGTTTTATAAGATGTATTGCTATTAACTTCCTGAAAGGAAAAGTTTGTTTTCAAGAAAAAATCCGTTTAGCTAAATTTATGTTTTCTTGACGTTTCAAGTCATTTTGAATCGAATGAGACCTAATTTGAAAAATGTATTGGTGTGTGTATTGCAATGTGTTTTTGTATGTGATCTAATTTTTGACATTTTGCCGATGTTTTCAAAAAATCGGCTGAACCGATTTCAAAAATTTAAAAGCCATTCGATGAAATTCGGTGAGCATCCGCGTTGGTTAGTTTTTTGATGAGATCGACTGAACCGTTTCTTTAAAATTAGCCGAAAAGTGCAAAATTTTTCGGCTGCATTCTAGCCTAAAATTCTGATCTTATTTCAAAAATTTAAATAACTTTCATAAAAGCTTACATGTGGGTGGGGTAAGAAGGAACAACTAAACTAACCCTGGCAAAGGTGTAAACAATGAGAAAACTAGTGGGGTGGGTGGCATCGTGCCTTAAGGCAAATTGCTGGAACTTCCCGTATCGTAACGAAATGTTCGAGAAATAATGAATGTTTTTAAATAGATTATTATTAATATTGTAACACTGTCTAATATTTATAAGAATTATATAAACTGAATTGCAAAGTTGAAATTATTTGTTTAAAGTATATTAGAACTATAGTCAGAATTTAAAATAAAATCTGAATTATTTTCGATATACAAAAAATTAAAAAAAAATAAAATAAAATTAAAAAAAATTTCAAACAAAAATTTTTTAATCCAAAATCAATTATTTTGTTAAGACAAGCAGAAAGTTTTTTGAATCAATTAACTTATTAATTTAGCTCCGTATCTTCGAAATGGCTGGGCCTGCCTTTGCGAAAAACTAATAACCACTTCTCCCAATCATTACTAATTAAATGTTTTTTAGATCATTTAAATCGGATGCTCCGTTCTCTCAAAAACTTGATTTCTATTTTCTGTACTCTTTGCTCTTTCTCTCTGTAACTGCTGGACCTGCCTTTGCCAAAAACGAATTAGCACATCTCCTTATCAATAGGAATCGAATGTTTTTTGAACTATTCAAATCGGTTGATCCGTACGCCCGAAAACGTGGACGAAAAATTGTATCCATTCATACATACACACACATACGCGCACACACACACACATCAATTTTTTCTGAAGTATGCCAAAATGTTCAGAAACCTTCAAAACGTCGAGAAATGTAAAAATTTTCAATTCCGATTTTCGGCCCATTACAATAACTTACCCTACGGGAAGTTAATTATAAATAAAAAATTGAATTTTGTTAAAAATATCAATTTTACATGGGATAAATTAAATTAATATTTATTCCAATCGTGCTGATATATTATTCTGATGAAATAACTATAAATAAAATAAAATAGCAGATCAATGTTATATACAGTATAGATTTTTGTAAAAAATGTGCTCATTAAATTTGTATTTCGCATTAGTTGATTAAGGTCGCTATTGCTTCCTAAACTTTCTAAACAAGTGAATAGTAATAATGAAAATAAAACTGTATTTTTTGCTTATAATAAACACTTTTCTAAATGAATAGATTCAAATTTCATATGATAGAGCAACTTGATCCCAATTTGTTTGTTAATTAAAATAGATTTTTGTAGACCACTTTTATATATAGATATAAGTATTGCTGACATTATAGTTTAGTGTAGTATTACCTTATGTAACAACATCATTATTTATTACCAATTAATAAATACTCCATAGCCTATTGAGCGTAATTAAAACCTGTGAAAAATATTTGATATAAGTTCAGTGAATTATATAGAAGATGATCAGAATGACAGATTATTTTTCAACTTTTAGCAAAATTGTGATCAGTTTTTCATTCTGTCAATACAAGTAATATGTTTTTTGAATCAATCCAATCTAACGCTCCGTTTTCTCAAAAACTGAATAGCCATTTTTGGATATTTTGCCGAGTATCTTCGAATTGGCCGGACCTGCTTTTGCCAAAAGCTCATCGGTACTCTCATCAATAGGAATCGAATGTTTTTCATCAAATTTTTGACCCGTGTTCTCGAATTCGTAGACAAAAAATAGTATCCACAAGTACACATACTAACATCGTTTTTCCTAATGTAGGGGAACTTGGTGCTATCTCTAACACTGTAACAGGGGTGTAGAGGATCAGTTACAGCAACTGTCCATCTTTATTTCGTAGAAATTTAATCAATGATTTTCAAGACACATTAATCCTAAAAAAAAACTGTTATGAACCATCTCTTAGTTCCTCTATCCCAAATGTTCATAAACTTTAAAACGTAAAAATATGCAAGAATTTTCATTTCCGTTCTTTGCGATTACTATGGCATACTCTACGCAAAGTTAAAAATAGTAATAGGAAGGAAATGTTTACTGCAATGTGAGCACCAGAGATAAAAGTTAGAAAAATTAGAAAAGCATTAAAAACATTATTATATTAGCCAACTGATAAGGGAAATGGGCCGCGAATACTAATTAAACTTCTAAGTGAGACATACAAAACTGGAAATGTTCTTTGGTCTGCAAATTATTTCTTTTTAGAATAATCAAGTTAAGTCAGTACAAAAGTTTAAAAAAAAACTAGTGACAATCCGAAGTTGATTATTAGAATTTAACCCTTAATGGTAGGAAGCTTTTTCTTGTAAAAGTCGCGCATACGACGACTGAAAATTAGGCGCAATTCGGAAACGTTTCGGAGAATCAAATTTTAAATTGAACATTTAAACTGATTTATTAATTTTCCAAAAATATTTGTTTTCACCGGGAAAAACAATTTGCTAATTTTATATTTTTCGGCGCTTCAAGTTATTCTGAAACCAATCTGATGAGATTTTATCCCTCGATTTTCTATCTTCGTTGAAAAATATTTAATAGTTAATTACGAAGAAACGGCTCCACCGTTTATTGTCCAAAACTTATCGTATAGTTTTTAAGTTTTTGAAATCTATTCAGAATTTATGGCTAAAATTTTTCACTTTTCTCTTAATTACTAAGGAACGGCTCGGCAGATTTTCGCACAAAACTGAGAACGATGGTTCTTATTGAGATATATCAAATGGCTTTTAAATTTTTGAAATCGGTTCTGGCGTTTTTGAGAAAACGACCATTAAAGGTCTAATTTTGACAAATGCCAAAAAAACGATACTAAATTTTTCAAACTTTGAAGAATTTTTAAAATTAAACGAGTTGTCATATGGCCGTAATATTTTAGTATGATCTACAAGACTATCGATTTTGTTTAAACTTTATTACAAGAAATCGGCCTGGCCGATCTTTACCAAAAACTAATCAGCACGATACCCAACCAATATCTATCAAACGGTTTTTGAATTTTCAAAATCGATTCAGAACTGCGGGCTAAAACGTGAACAATTTTTTTTTCATTTTTCTGCTATTTACAAAGAAACGGCCAGGTCGATTATCGCAAAAAACTCAGAAACGATAGTCCTCATCGAGATACACCGAAAAACTTTTTAATTTTTGAAATCGGTCTAGCCGTTTTTGAGAAAACGTTAATTTAATGTAAAACAACTGTTCACATATTCACACAGACACATACACACTCACACATACTTTTTCCAAATTTGGTTTCATTCGATTCAGAATGGTTGGAATCGTACAGAAAACATAAAATTAGCAAATCGGATTTTTTATGAAAACATAAACTTCTCTAAAAAAGTTACGCAGCGCGATTGCCTTGAAAAGAAGTTCAAAATTTTCAAAAATTTCTAATATATGAAAAAAATTCAAATTTTTTAAAAAAGATAATGAAAATTCTCAAAAATCTCATTTTTTCTAAGTTTTCAAAAAAGTTTACGACTTCTTTAAAAAAAAATGATTTAAATTTTTAGTACGGGAAGTTTTAGCAATTTGCTTTAAGGCACGATGACACATTGTTCATTTATATGCAAATTTTGTTTATAATAAATATTTTTATTCTCATGCAGCTTTATTTTTATGTAACTAGTAAATCTAGCATGGGACGAGATTTCGCGCAGTTTTGTCTTCATGGGTACTATACTGCATCGTACTTTATGGGATGCCTACATGAACCAATTAATGAAGATCCTGCGACATACTTTGCAAATGCATCATCTGAGGTAAGATTACAAAAACCCATTTACGTTAGTTCGCTTTGTACATTTTAAACGAAGGAAAATGTCAAATTATGGTTACAATATGGTCCTAGACGATTTTAGACAAATATAACGATATTCATTGGTAAATGTTTATATAAAGCTCTCCCCCAGGAACGATTGTGACAGGCATAAAAATAGGTTAAAAACAGTAGTTTTAAACACCAAAATGATTTATAACGACTTTTATTGTCGTTAATAACAATAATATGTGACAAAATACAACATAAACATTTAAACAAAGCTCATTAATGAAATATAACAATATATAACAAAAAATATTTTTTAAATAATGTTTACAAGCATTCTTTGTGAAATCTTTTTTCCCTATATTAATTTTTTTTTCTTTTCTGGTATTTTATCTTAATGAAGTTAGATTTTTTATATTTGTTTATCCTCACTGGAAAAGGACAACAATGCATGTCACACTCACAACGGCAGCCCAAAAACGCACTCTTTTGAAAACAAATCACCATTATGACTGAGCTAAATTATCTAAGCACAAATTAATTGCTGGTAAATAACTACTAATGTTCAACTTACAGCAAAATAACAACCAATGTCATCTATCTGTACACGATTAGCAGCTATGATTAAAAGAATTGGAACATGTTTTTTTTTAACTTTTAAAAAACAATGCGGTCTACAGATCATGTTAATGTAAGCCTAAGGCGTTGACTAAAACCATGAGAATTTGCTCGAATAATCATACTTAATCTTTCTCCCTTTGAACCATATCTCAAAATCAATATAGTTTAGCTGTTATTACAACCGTCACTATTGTGCCCTAGCACAACCGTCCCCACCCTACTCATACTGAATTTTTTTAAAACTGACTTTTATTTTTAAATCTACTTTATACATCCAAGTGATAATTTAGCTTAATCTTTAAATTGTGGAAATACGTCAAAAATTAAAATGTGTTTTTTTTTAATTTATTATTTTAAAATATCTCAAAAATTTAAATAAATATTCGTATTATAAAATATAAAAATAATTACATTATTAATTTTTATAATTATGACCTCTTTCACTTTCAGACAATTGTACTTGATGCTATGACCCGTGGAGGTGAAGCTGTAACAAAATCATTATCAAATATACTTTTTTTCATTAAGTTTATACAAAACAAATATGACTATAAAAATTTCAGTATAGTGTAAAATTCAACAACAACGAAATATGTGCCTCCTTAATTTTACTAACAAAATTGTTATATATTAGGAATTTATTTTTAAATACATAATCATAATCTTTATATGATCAATTCCATGGTAGATCAAATTCAGAGTTTGATAATCACATATGTTAAATATTAATAAATATTATGAAATTAAATTGTATTTTTAATAACTAATGTAATAATTCTTTTCTATTTATCTAATTCAATATATGTTTCTGATATTGACAGTTGTTTTTAACTTATTTAAATTTTTTGTTATTCATTTATTATAGACAATCAGAATTACAATTTTCTATGAGTCTATGTGATCCATTAAATATGTCATTTAAAGGTCTTCTTCACTGAGGAGATTCCTTTGTAAATAATAATTTGTGTTAATAGAAGAAACACTGTTTAAATTAAATTAGTAGGTCTTCTAGCCAATTTTTTAGCTTTCTGGTTGAAGCATGATTTGGATGTTGGTCTATTTTCATATGGTTTGAGTTGCTTCTGTTCCAGATTACTTCTGGTATATGGTATGTTTAAATCGGTGTGGATAGTGCATTTATTTAAATATGTTATTACTTATGCAATAATGCAAACAATTCGAACGAGCAGAGCGAGGTCTAAAGGTCAGTGGGTAAAAGAGTCCACCACCAATATCTCAAATAAGGAAAGTATGACATCTTTTAGCTATACAATTTTAAAGTACATGATAAAAGTGATGTAACTAGCCATTACCGTAATTGCTAGTCGTAAATGGCATTACGTTAATTTGTGCGACGTCGTTATCAGTGGACGATTGGAAGTTCAACAAGAAAAGTATTTTTATTTCTTGGTAGTTTTTTTTTTGGTTTCGTGCTTTGTTAATTAATTTCTAATATCTGATTATAATTTTTAAGTATTAGTTATTCAATTATTTTATAAAATGTATTAATATTTTTCAGTTATTTCAGCAGTTTTTTCATAACCTCTTCAAGAGCTTACATATAGCAGGGGTAAGATACATATGGCAGCGGTAAACGTCCAACTAAACCTTTACACTGGCAAAGCTGTAAACAATAAAAAAACTAAATACTAGTGGTGCATGACATTGTGTCTTAAGGCAAATTGCTGGAAATTTCCGTACCAAAAATTAAAAAAAATTGAAAGCTTTGAAAAAAATGAGTGTTTCGAATTTGTTGAAAAAATTGTCATTTTTGAAAAAAAGAATTATATTTAGAATTTTTGTATACTTTGAATTGTTCTGAAAATTCTGAACATTTTTATACAGCAATCGTGCTGCGTAGCTGCTTTACAGAAGAAATATCGAAGCGCGTAAGCGCCACATTGCAGTCTAACGGATAAACATTGGTATGGTAGCCATAGAAATGAAAACAAAACTCATACTTAGTATAAAAATCTCTATAAAATATCTGATAATTTGATGTGTATATGTCTAATGATCATTTTTGACCGCCAAATGGCATTTATTTTTATTTTCACTCGATCTCTGAAACTGCTAAATCTGCCTTTGCAAAAATTTAAAGGGTACTTTATTTTGTCTATACAAAATTGAATTGTTCAAATCGGACACTCCGTTCTCTCAAAAACTGAATCATCACTTTGGCTCATTTGCCCAGTATTTTCGAAATTAATTTTGCCATGTCCAAAAACTAATCAGCACGTCTTCTTATCAATGGAAATCGAAAATTTGTATCCAAACACACACACTCATACATCCATTTTTTCCAAGATATGTCAAAATGTTCCAAAATCTTTGAAACGCAAAGATATTCAAAAATTTTCATATTTGTTTTTTTTTTATTACTATAACTCACTCTACGGGAAGTTAATAAAGGTAATTAAGTTAAAACGCATTTTTAGAGGGACAGATGACAAATTCTTCTATATTTTTGGCATTTTTTTACAATTTTTATTGAATCTCGGAAACCGCTGAATTTCCAAAAACTTGATCAGTTTTTCATTTCGTCAATACAAATAAAATATTTTTTGAATCAGTCAAATTAGACGCTTTGTACTCTCAAAAACTGAATTGCCATTTTTGGCACTTCTTGTCTCGTATCTTCAAAACGGTTTGACCTGCCTTTGCCAAAAACTAATCAACACGTCCCCATCAATAGGAATCGATTGTTTCTTGAAGTATTCAAATCGATTAATTCATGTTCCAAAAATCGTCAAGGAAAATTTGTATCCGCACATACACAAAGAAACATTTATCAGAACACACGAATACATATACTATACATATGTACATACATAATTTTTTTGTAAGGAGTGCCAAATGTTCAGAAACCTTCGATTTTTTTCAAATACTATAACTCACCCTACGAGAAATAATCAAAGGGGTGCATTAATTGTAGTCAATTTCTTGAACTTACTCTAAATGAGCCGAACAATCACATGTAGACATAAAATTCTTGTGACAATGAATGGTGTTGTTCTCAGATACCACATTGATATTCGATTATTATAAACACACGCTGCATTTTATATGTGAATATTTGAAATTAATTCGTCTTTATTATTAAAACAATGAACTCGTTTATATAACAAATAATGAAACAATTGGGCATTGGTAACATAATTAATAACATAATTTGCTGATACAAGCAAATATAAACAAGATGCGTCTGCTTAATGTCCAGAAACATTCACATGTAGCTACAGAATATGACTGATTGTGAGTGTATATAATATGCAAAAAATTATTTGCAAACATTCACGAATATGAATATATATATATATATATATATATATATATATATATATACATATATAAATTAAGAGGTCTTTTCAGATTGTGAAATATTATAATAAAGTTGTTCTTGGGCGTCTACCCATTAATTGAAACTATTTTATTAAAGTAAAATGTTTTATTGTCAAACGTTTCAGATCCTGATTTGACCCATCTTCAGTGCATACAAATAATTTGAAAAAAAAAACAAAAACACGGAAAATGTAATGTACCACTTACTATACTATTTTTAAAGCACGAATTTTAAAAACTATTAAATTAAAATGAAAATTGTATAGTCATTGACTATAATATTTTCTCAAACTTTGATGAATTTTCAATATGAAACTATTGTCGTAGGGCCGTAAAATTTTAGTTTGTTTTATAAGACAATGATGTCTTTTGCCAAAAAAGCATAAAAATCAGCAAAATTTTTCAACAGTTAATATCTAGAGCCAGACAACCAAAATCATTCGAAAAGTTTTTGATTTTTTGAAAACGATTCAGAATTGAGAGATAAGGCGTGGACAAAATTTTTTTCACTTTTCTGCTATTTACAAAAAAATATTCAGGCGTTTATTTGACGCCAAAAAAACGATACTACTAATATTTGCAAACTTTGTCGGTTTTTAAAATTAAATTAAATTTAAATTAAAATTTTAAACTTAATTGTCGTAGAGCCGGAATATTTTAGAATGATCTATAAAATAATAAGTCTATGGTATCTACCGTCAAAAAAAATCATATAACAAGAAGACACTTTAACACAAGAAGAAGGCCCGGCCCATCTTTACCAAAAATTAATCAGCACCATTCCCAAGCAATATCTTTCGAACGGTTTCTTGAATTTTTGAAATCGATTCAAAATTGCGGGCTAAAACGTGAACGATTTTTTTCACTTTTTTGCTATTTACAAAGAAAGGGCTTGGCTGATCGTCGCACAAAATTGATAAACGCTAGTCCTCATCGAGACACATCGAATGGCTTTTATACCTTTAAATTCGGTAGCCGTTTTGAGAAAACGTCGATTTACGGCAAAAAATCTATTCACATACACACACACAC